AAAAATAAAAGAAGATTTTAATACCAAAGCATTTTTGTAATTGCAATCATTTTCTGGTAAAAAAAAAAAGAAAAAAAAATAGCATTATCTTGCAGAATTGCAGGGATGCCAATACTTTTGGCCCAGAACTGTACATGAAGCAATAAATAGGCGCCTTGTGTTTATGTTTGCCTTGCTTTGAATTTTTCCATCTCAAATATTTGGCCATTAAATTCCCTTTGCTCATCAGTGTATAATGGCTAAATGAATAGAAAACCCAGCTGAAAGGGAGATGACATGATGACATTCCACAGGAGCCCCCCTGGAACTATAAATACATGTGTACTGACGCAAAGAGATGATGGGAAATATTTACTAATGCTGCAACCTAATGATTTGAAACTACATGCTCCTTTCATCAGAAGCCCATTCTTTGATTCTCTAATCCATACATCTGTTGTGAGCAGAATTTCTCTTGAGCTTCTGCTCCTTCCAAGATTTAGAACATGAACAAACACATTTAGGTGACTTGTTTAACTAATACATCTTTACATTGGTATTATCTTCCCTCTAGTTGATGATCTTGTGCGTTTGGTTATCATTGTTTTCTTTACATTGTAATGTGAAAATACTTTCCAACATTATATTACAGTATATTTTAAACACTTTCATAGATACAAACTCTTTTTTCCCCCCATAATTTCAGAAACACTTTTGAAACATTCCAAAACTAGATTATGAAAATTCCAAAGCTAGACTATAAAGTAAAAAAAAGTCACCTATGGAAGTATTCAACCCCTTATGATGATGTTTAATTTCTTCATTGATTAAAAGTTTAACCCTACATAATTTGGAGTTTCAAAAACACCTTTTATTCACTGAGTGTAAAATCAGAGGAAACTTGTAAAGTAGGCTGTGGTTTAAAAAAAAATCATTGATTTTTGTTGTTTTGATTTAGTTATTTCCCACAAACAAACAAAAAAAACAAAACAAAAAAGATGACAACATTTTTAATGCTGCTTTACAGCTATAGTATTTAAAATGACAGAGTCTGGGTACGGACTGAGAGCAGAATTCCAGAAAGAATGTTCCAGGTTTGAATTTTGATTAGTTCCTTTCTATGCAGGGTACGTTTTTCTCTTTGCATGTGTGACATTTTTTTCCAGATGCCCTTACTTTCCATCAACGTGTGAAAATGTGCTTTATACCTTATCTGAAGATAGGTATTATAAACCAAATCCACTATGATGCTTAAAAAAAAGGTGCAAAACTAATACATTTTAAGATGAATCTGCTAAAATGAACCTGCATTAGCCTCCTGAGATGTACTGCAGAGTAATGTGAGCAGCAGTACATGTTGAAGGCTGTCTTTGCTGGCCATAGTTCTGTTCAGTCTCTGATTGATACAGTGGATGGATTCAAAGACATTAAGTATTTATAATAAAAGCAAACCTACCAACAGACACTGCTACTTGCTATTATTAATACAGTAGAAAAGGGAAGAGATTTCTCAGAGTAACATTTGCATCATATCCTAATCACTGAGCATCTTTTGCTGTTTCAATGTAGAGGATCTTACCTACACAGTCCTCTGCTCCACGTTGGAGTAAGCTGCTCAATAAGGTTTAATGAGAACCTCCCAAATTTATATGTAAAAACATATAAAGACTGTTTGGTCCCATTTTACAATAACCTGTTTGGTCAATCTAATGATTGACAGGATCTTTGAAACAAGGTTCGTTAATGGCAGCATCCACTTACTGGAATTCTGTCCAGCAACAGGAACTGGAGGTTACTGGGGGAATAACTGAGATAAAGAAAAAGAACAAAAGCTATCCACGTTTCCTCACCAAGGCTGCTCTCCTCTGATATCACATCAATAGAACGGCCTGTTTTTTTAAGAAAAAATGGCAAATTAACATAATAAGGCTGAGTTAATTTGATCCTAATAAAAATGGGATTACCTGTAACAGTTTGACTGTAGTAATAATAATAATAATAAGAAGAAGAAATTTTACTTTTAATGCACTTTAAATCTACAACAACAAAAAAATCAATGTGCAACAATAAATAAAACAGGGTCAAAAGAAGGCAAATAAAACACAGAAAGTAACAAGTCCATAAAATAAAAAAGGGGATTAAAAGAAAGAAACAAAAAAGGACGGGATGTCATTATGATGTGATGTCTGAGGAAGCCTCAGATGTGAAGTCAGATTTTTCCTTGGGCGAGGAGCGGCCCTGTCCCCGGTGGTTTGGTAGGCAAATCTGCTTACGAAGGTCAGTGTTGGAAGAACGAAGAGAACGTGAGGGACAGTGCAGGGTAAGCAGGACTTTTAATAAAGATGGTGTTTTACCATGCAGGCAGTCTAAGGTGAGCAGAGCCATTATGTACTGTAAGTGATCCGCACAGAAACAGGAAGCTAACTAAAGACTGGGCTATCGTGGAACTGAAGCAGAACTGCAGTTAGCATGTTCTCCCTGTGGATGTGTGGATTTTCTCTAAGCAGACCTCCCACATGTTGGGTTACCTGGTGATTTTAAATGGATCTTAGGAGTGAGTGTCAGCATGCAGGGATGTGTGTATCTGTGCTGGACTAATGACCTGTCTAGGGTGTAAACCTGAATGCTGGACTGTCCCCCTGTGTCTCTTAAAAGCTGCTAGAGAAAGATTATGCACCAGAGTGGTGAGGTGATTAGCACTGTTGTCTTTGAGTTGAATCGCAGCATTCTGTCACCTTTTTTTAAGTTTCCCCCCATGCTTGGAGAGGTGAGCTCCAGACTCTTTGATTAATTCAGCAATATTCTAATACTTGTTAGATTAACTGTTGATTTAATGATAATGCCAGGAGCCAGAGGGTGCAGGTTAGGTTTCTGGAATAGACCATTCAGGTTGCAACTAAGTTATTAGTGGATGGAAGAAGGTAGAGGCCACAACAAATGGTTACGATTTTTTTCCCGGTGTAGTTCACTTAAGATTACTTTTGTTTAGAAAATCAACCCAAAAACTTTAAAAGAAAAAATGTGAAAAAATCAATTTGAAGATGATTGTCATGTATGACAGAGGTTCAAAAGACTTTAAAAATGAAAACAAACAGTCTATTTTCAAAGTATTAAGGTGTATGCATGAACTCTTCTTTACCTTTAATCAGCAAGTATTTAAAAAAAATGTAAATTAGAAATCAGGAAAAGCGAAGAAATTTATTTTTTTTTTATTTAATTTTATAAATAAAATCAGACAGAGCAAAAATAATAGGAAGGATTAAAAAAAGAAAAAAAAGTTAATTCTTCTCATGTAAATTATGAAAAAATTCAATTACATGCTATAAAATAATCAAATTGTTAGGTTTTAGAGGTTCTATGACTGAGGAAATTGTTCTGCAATGAACCATAGAATAAAGCAATTATAAAGACTCTGATTATATGCATCACTGCACTTTTAATTTTATCTTATTTATGTTCAACTGAAAGAGCATCAAGCAGCCTTATAGACAGGAGGTGATTTGAGTGTTTATTTTCAGTATTTTACTGCAGATATTCAGATACAATCAAGATTTTTTTTAAACTGGCCCATCTATCAGTTCATTTTAAATTTAAAATTAAAACTGCTACATCAAGAAAGTTCTCCAAACTCTTTTGCACAAACTGGAAGCAAAAAAGACACATTTTAAAGTTTTTCTTTTCTTCTTTTACCAATGATGCTGCAGCAGTTGCATGTTTAGCTGCAGCTGAATCAGAGAACACTGTTACAGTTTGTTCATGCTTCAACGGTGAACCAGCAGCAACGAACCAATCACAAAAACAAGCGCAAGAAAGAGAGAGGAATGCAGCCGGACCAGACTTTCAAGGACGTAAACTTGACTGCAGGAATACGTATGAGAGATCCTGACACAGAGGTGTGTTGGTACAATTAAAAAGCTAAGAGCAAGGAGACACACATAGACACGCTGCTCTGTATGAGTAATTAGAAGTAATCCAAAACAGGATTATTATGGAGGAGCATGGTACACTCATACGTGTTGAATTTTTTTCCCAAACAAAATAGGCATACAGCTGCAAAAACAACACACACATTATAAACTTTACAATCTAAAACAAATCAGTCTGAATGGATACAACTCAAATTTGCCCTAAAACACAGCAGATTGATACCATTTCTATGAGTATATCAAACCATATATTGCCATATATAAGAATGAACACCACATTTTTGCATGAAGGAGGATGGAGGATATGCGTTGCATCTCAGTCTGAGTGCACAGTATATCTGTATGTCACTAAATCTAAGAACAATATGTCTACACTGGAATCCAATCAAATCTTTTTCTTTTTTCAAATTCCCTGCCAACATTCAATCCCATAGCAATATAAATGTTAAGCTCCTTCTGCCGGAGTGCAAACACACACATATCCATATGTTTCAGCTGCCTGATGTTATTTGTGAGAAAACTAGAAAGCTAAAATATTAACTATCAGGTATTAGGTTGTTATAAGTCTTTGAAACAAAAAAAGGATGTCAACAATAGATTGTCAGCAAGAGGAAACTGCATGACTGAAGGGAAAGCAAAGAATTCCCTAAAGAGACGTAATTCGTAGTGCTGAAGCACTTGTCCACCAGTCAGAAAACTGCCCTTAATTTAATTTCTATTACATTTATGGTTAATTTATGTTTTATCTTTGCAACTGTTGTGGGGGCTTTTTCTGGCACTTGAACACACAAACCCACACTCAGTGAGAGAACGTCTCTCACAGCCCGGATCCTGAAGGAAAGCTGCAGAAACAGAAGTTGAAACTTACCTCATTCAGACAGAAGTTTGCAAACACAAAGGCGGAAGGTAATGAAAATTGGAGGAGGGAAAGTTTGTTTGAAGTAAAGAAAGAGGGAAAAAATCCTTCTTATTGGAAATATAAATAAAAGGAAAAGTGTAAAGAGTGTTTGTGTTTATTTTTTGTATCATTAGTTGCCAGAAAAGATTTAACGAAAAGAATAAGGATGCTGAGAAGAAGAGGAGAGGAGATCCTACCTGGAGCTGTTCGGACAACGTGGTGGAGTGTCTGGTGCCCAGAGCCGGGGCTGAACTTTCCTCAGGACGCAGAAACACTTGCTGACCACGTCTGCAGAGATAAGGAAAGACAGTCAGAACCACTTTCTACCTATATTTGTGTGGGTTCTCTTTCAGCACAGTTTGAAGTCAGCTGGATGATGTTTGACTGATAAGCTGGCTTCGCACCAACTTATCTTGTCCGAAGAAGTGGAGGCAGGAATTCAAAGGTGTGGGGGAATCTATGTGAGGAAGTGTGTGTGAAGCCCTTACAGGTCCTTTGCTTTCTTCCTCTCAAGCGCAGTCATGTCATCTCCACCTGTCGTAACGCAGAGAGAGCGCCGGAGTCACACACACATCCACACACACAGCTGCACAGCAATGCACTCACTCGCGCCGGCAGGCTGAGACACACACTGGCGTGCTAACACCAATAGTGGCAACACATAGAGCCGATAGTGAGGCAGTCCCTCCTCCTCCTCCTCCTCTCTCCTCCCACCTCTCTCTCTCTTTTGGTCTCTGTCTCTCTCACTGCTCCTCCTCTGGGTCTTACTGCCTCCCTCAGCCCTCCCCATGTTTCACCTCCTCACTGAGAGCACATGCAGTGCCTTTCAAAAGCCTTATTTTCATATTTCTTCAGGTGGAAACCAAACACATAGTTATTTAGTAGGATTCTATGACCAATACAAAGCAGTGTAAAATTATGAAGAGAAATCAAGATGATATATGAAATTACAAAATATTTCCAAAATCCAGATAGGTTTGACATGCATTATTAAGGGAGTTCAAGTTACAGTACCACAAGAAAGAAGGTGCTCAGTCATGCAAATGTATACAATACATTTGCATGACAACTAACATCAATCTGCACACATCACCATTACCACAGGACTAGCTGTGAGCCATATTTTTTTGGTCAGCAGGGGATGGAAATATGGGCGGTTATGAGTATGCGCCAAAAAAGCATCATAAGGAAAACCAGACTGTGGCGTATAGGACCAGACTCATCATTTAATAATAATTTGAAGCCTAGATTTAATTTCTCAGGATCTGTTAATCATATAAATAGCAGTCATTTCCTCAAATAAGCTATTTATTCTGAAATTAAGTAAAAGCAAATTCTTTGCTAAGAAATTCCTAACCACTGTACACTTGTAGATGATGCTTTACAGATATAATATCTGATCGATTTGCTATGGAAAAAAAATGGGTAATGGATTCAGAATGGAAGTTAAAAGCTATTTAAAAGAATTCTTTCTTTAAGCTGCTCATTAATCATTAACCATTAGATGAATTACACAGATAACAGTGTCAAATCAGCTGTCATATTAGCAAATATAATGCCCTGCTCAGCTAGTATTTTGCATTTCATAAAACTTCTTTAGTGTTATAAGTTTCATTTAAACCATCCATACACATTTGCTGTAAAACTTGAAAAGCACAAAACCTGCAATAAAAGCCACCTGGATAACAAGCTATGTACATTTATAGTGGTGTAGACGGAACATTTGCATAGCCTAGCAGTGGTGCATACAGTATTTGTGGTATAAATAACGCATGTTGCAAAGCTCATTTTAAACTGTGACTTACTGACTCCACTAGATATTAACATATAATAATATTTCAAAAGCTTTAAAATGTTCTATTAAAACATTTCAGTGGGATAAAAATCTTATGAATACATGCTAGAGTTCAGAGTGTCCTCTGGCTCCAAGGATCATAGTAGCACGGCACTCCCCCTCTCCAACCTGTTGCTGCACAAAGCCCGTAATTCCTTCTCCTGTAACCTTGCTTACAAATAAGATCAAGCTGGATGTCTTGGAAGTTGTGATGTGCAAACTTAAAAACATAACTTATAGAGGTACTGCAATCTATCTAAAATAACACATTCATTGATCCCAAGTTGGTATTAGTATTGCCTTTAACACTAATGTGGTATGATTGATACTTTCATTTCTTTACAGAGTTCGACCAAGCGTTGCTCCTCTCCATCTATGCAAACAAGATTTTTTTCGATTTGCTCTAAAATTGTGAATTATTTACACTTTGTTTCTTTTTGGAAACATACAGACTAAATTTTTTTTTCTGTTGAACCTATTATATCCTTTTGGACATCTATAAACTTCCAATGTCCACATTTAGTCAGAGGTTTTAACAAAAAGATTCCAAAAGGAAAAAAAATCTTAACACAAAACACAGAAGGGTAATACATTTGAGCATATTTAAAACTTAAGTAATAAGTATCAGTACTGGTGACACTGGCGGGTTTATTTAGTTGGTATTGGAAAGATAAGAAAAATCCCAGTATAGTAAATCTTAAATAACTTTCATTCAACTCAACCATGAACACAAGTGATCATTTCTAGTAACACTAATTAATACTGATGTTAACTCTAGTGGAAAGATGGTATATAACGATGAATTTATAAAAAAAGTAATTTATTCTACTAAAGGCTACATGCAACTCAGACTTAAGTCATATAAATATACTTCATCAGCTAATTTGTTCATTCTGTTTTAGTCTGCCAATGTACGTCTGTTAATCTGCAAACTGAAAAACACAAGAACACATGAATTAAGCAAAAAGGAAAAACAATGTTGCTCAATAAATCCAGAACTGTTAATGAATTTAGCCAGAATGTATTCTACATTTTTGCCCATATATATTAAATAAAATCATAATAAATAATAATTTACAGATAATAAACAAGTCTTTGGCCTTTTTTTTCTTTTTATAAATAAATCTTCCAATAAAAGAAATTATGTTGAACATATTTCTGAAAAGATCAGATAATCCTGTGATATTTGTACTTACATTGAGATTATTGAGCCATTTGAAGCTTTTGCAATGCCAGTCTATTCGTAAACATTTTGATCCTTCACATTGTTTTACTTTTTAAAGCGCTTAAAATGTCAAGGCAATAAATTACCACAGCCAAGAAAATGTTATCACCTCATCCACGTGACTTTAACAGCCAACGGGTTCCAACGGTAAAGGAGACCTGTCTGCAACTTTATGGCAGTAAGGATGCAAGTTTAAACCGGTGATGGGTGAAGGGAAAAATATTGATTATATCATTACAATGGCACCTGGCAGTGGGCAAGAAGCATTACTCAGCAAGTGAACATTTTGGCTCTCGATATTGATGTGTAGAAAAGGTAAATGGTGATTCTATGACACACCAGAGCATTTTATATCCTGCTTCTTGAGTCAACTTGTGATTGTTCAACTTGAGATACCAAATAACATATTTACTTCTTAATGTTATGATAACAATATATTTTAAAGCATGAATTTATTCACTGGTAGGTACACTTCCTGAATAAATAGATTTGCAATTCAAACACTTTTCTATATGTACATTATAGACCCAAAGGTTAGATTTTCAGGGAAAGAAAATATTGTAATTCTGCAAGGGTTAATTTGTCATACAGCAAACTGTTTTACACTATTTATCTGTTGTTTTTTGTAGGGGGGAGTTTATTTTGTTCTAAAATTATGAAAACTATTATAATTTCTATAAATGACGTGTTTGACTCTTATCTTTGCTCTCACAGTTGCAGCATGTGAGGTTAACTGGGGCTGCAGGTCAGAAAGCACAAATTCATTAATGTCTGGCAGGATGTTGTTAATGAGTTAATATGTTTATCCATAAATGTTCCAACTTATTAGCAGGCAGGTCTCACATTCCCTCTCTGGGTGTTTTAATTTCAGAAACTATCGTAATCGTGTAATGTTCGGTGTCTCCTGGGAACGCAACATAATTGAGTGACAATGTGCTTCCTGTAGAAGCTCTGAAGCATGCCAATGTATACAGAGCTGCTTATGTATTCAGATGGCTTTAGCTGAATATTGGAAGCTAGAGACTATGATTTTAAGGGACCATATATATATATACGTATATATATATATATATATATATATATATATATATATATATATATATATATATATTAGCCAAGTCATTGCAGATATGATAATAGAGATATAAATTGCAACCCACTGGGCCTCTTGATCAGTTACCTGAGCCACCTTAACTGACTGACTTCTTTTAACATGAAAGAGCAGCAGCTCTGCTTTAGGCTTCCCCTGGATGCCAGAGTCTTTTTTGTCAAAGGCTGATATGTTTCAGCTGGACATATCCTTAAAGTTCTCTTTAGAATACAAAAAACAAACAAAAAACACATCTTCTATTTAGAAGCAGAAATATTTACATAATATTTACAGAACTTGTGAAGAAACTGCAGTTCTTTACATTTAATCTGCTGGCAGTATTTAGTACAACAGTCCAAACAGTAGCAGGAGGGAATCAAGAGTGACACTGGAAGCTGACTCTCTAAGGTCACATTCGAGGAGACAGGACAATTAACACGATGCTGTGAAGCAGGTGAAGCATGAGTGAATGATGAAAGTCTATCAATCAACCAGCAAATCACAGGGCCAGCAGCTACAGGCAGTTCAACTGACAAATTGAGCTTGAGACATGCTTTCAAATATTTTTTATAATTAAGACAGACAGACAGACAGACAGACAGACNCTACTGTAAGAAGTAGAATCTCCAAAGCATGGCATCATTTCATGCAAATGACAGATCTTTGAATATGTGGCATTTTTTAAGCACAATTGAAAAGTTAATTAGGACTGTGTTATATTATCATAGATTATTACATATGATCACTATGCCATGCATTCCCTAAGATTATTTCAGAGCCAGTGGGGAACAGAATAAATGGAGAAACAGCTCAGTGGTTGATCCTTGTTCATCTGTAGCCCTCTGCTATAAAATACTGCCGTATCCTCGGCATTTTATAATGCTTTAGCCTTTTTTGTAGACAGTGTGGCTATAAGCAATTGCTTTTAATTAGAGCAAATAATACATTATTCATTCATTCAAAGTGAGTGTTGACAGAGGCAATGGTGCTTTTAAAGTATGGGGAGTGTCCCCCACAAAACACACTGCTTAGGACCCATCTTAAATGGTATGATCCAATTTCTACCAAACTAGGGTCCGTCAGCAGACAACCAGACTGGTGAGGTCCAGTATTCCAGATAGATTATGAGAAATTCCAGG